GAAGAACAGCTCCTGGTCGTCTTGGAAAGCATGCAACTGGCACTGGAACGTCGTCTCCCAGAACCTCTGCTGGCACGCTTCTACCATGGGCGCCAGGAGGACGCCGCGGAATTCTCCGTCCTTATGTTGGAGGACTGCCCGAGCCTGCAACCGGCTTTGGCAGGCAAGGAGGTACCCCAACTTCTATGCCAACACTGCGGATGCGGGCGCAACATGGCGCAAGACACCTTCCAGAATCTGCACCTCGCGTTGCTGTACGAGGCTCCAATCTATTCTGTGAAGGAGGCCCTGGACCGCTATCTGAAACAAAGACATCTAGCCGACGGCTTTCGCGACTGGTCGTGCGATCAAGCCGGCTGCGTGGCCAGTGGCGTGCAGGCAGATGTGCCTTATTGGACCACGAAAATCACAACATGGCCAAGAGTCCTTATGTTGACTCTCAAACGCTGGGACTTCCCTCGTCGTCGTGCGCTAGCTCANNGCCCACATCGGCGCCACCGCAGACTCCGGTCATTATGTGGCTTACAGGCGTCACGGCGATCGCATCTTGAAGTGCAACGACAACACCATGACCTTCCTGCCAGACTTTATCTTGCCGCCGGAGGAAAAGGCCTACGTGCTCTACTACGTCGCACAAGACCACGGCGAGCACGGAGATGTTCCACCTGGTCCAGGCATAAGTTTGGATGTGAGCAGCGACTCCGACGTCATCATGGAGCTGGATCCTCCTGCCACCGGAAACCTCAAACGTGCGTCCTCGGCCACAGACGACTCATGTTCCAAACGGAGAGCAGCCCCCAGCGAAGAGTGCTTGGTTGAAGACACGGAGATTCTTGAGACGGAACGGACTGCGGCCCCAGCAGCTCCGCCATCCGCGCCAACTCAAACACAGCGTCGTCGACCTTTGTCTCGCTTCACAACACAGGAGCGAGAGAAGATTGTTAGCATTTGCAAACAACACGTCACCGTGAAGAAGGTCCTTGCCGAGCTCGCCGTTTCGGTCCCGAACCTAACGACACAAGATCCAGCAGCAGACGGGTACGTATCCTCCTTCACTATTCGCCACTGGGTCCAAGATCATGGAAGACTCAACAAGGCTCTGGAGCTGGCATCAAGGGCTCCGACACCCAAGGTCCTCAACAAGTCACGAGCACCTCCAGCGAACTCGGCTCGAGCAGCCTTGCCGGAACCTGTGCGCGAGGCCATTGCCTCTGCTCTGGAAACGGCTAGAAGCGAAGAGGACTTCATGGTCGCGCTGCAGGAGACCATTCCCGACTTCAGCGACACAGACGCGACAGCCGGACAGTACATTCCACGTACCACGCTGAAGCGATGGTATCGAGCCACAGGTCAAGACTACTTCAGTGACAAACAGAAGTTGGAGCAACCGGAGACCTGGGAGTCGGAGTTCGAGCGGACGTTTTGCATCACGTTCGCGAAGCCGGAGATGCGATACAGTGCAGTCGACCCAGATGACGAAGTGGATCAGTGGCTCGTCCGAGGCTCCTGGACCTTCTGCCCAAAGTGTGGGCGTCGCCGACCTCAGTGCAACGTTGCCAGTTTGACCCTCCAACGCGCGGACAAGACATGTCGCTACCGATGTGATCCCGAACCTGAAGACCTCCTGTTGCCGCGGACGGAGTCCGACCTTGGGAGACATTGCAAGCTGGACGCCTACGTTACACCGAATGCCCACCATTGGGAGCATTTGCTGGCAGACCTTCACGTCACAGGACTGCCGTTGGTGCCCGGTCTTACCAAAAAGGATCTCGACACCCTGGCTGTTTTGGATTTGAAGATTGACTATCAAACCCGCCGGGGCGGCAACGCCGAGATCACAAGCAAGCAGAAAAAGTCTGTTATTCGTGGCCGCTGGAAAGCATTGCCTTTGTTCGACATCCAGCGATCAGACCAGGCCAATCGACTCTTCTTTTGGCTGCTGGCAAACAACGAGACCTACGCGAACTGGGTCCAGTTCCACAAGCAGCTCGCGATTAGCAACGACAACTGCAGCGGTCCATGGCAGGAGGTGCGAACCGCAGATTTGCTGTTGAATTCCCCGGGCATCGAGGTTGCTGCCAGACCGTGGCTGTACCCGCTCGCGAGCTTCGGCGATACAGACCTGTCATCGCGCTTGATGCCGCTGAAATGGATAGCGGCAGGCTCTCGCCCGTCCCTGCGGGCAAGTTTCCTGCGCAAGCTGATGAGCAGGTGCATCGATTACAGCCGTGATTTTGCATTGAAGTCGCTCTTATATGACAGCGCCATGGCCCGAACGATCACCTCCCTCATCAGCGTTGCCAATCAAAGGAACATCGCCCCGGAGTTTGCCGCTCAGCAGCAGGACATGTTCGAAGGCTACTGGCTGCTCCAGCTCAGGAAAATGGAGGATATTTGTCGCCGGGAGTACGAGAGCACAGACGACCTCGCCAAGACGTTTCCCAATATCTTCTTCACTGTGGCTCCAGCCGAGTGGCGCTATCTGTTGCCGGAGGGCCTGACGTTGGACGATTCACTATCTGAGCAGCAGGACTTGATTACGCTGCATATGCATCATACACTACGAGTCCTCTTAGAGCATCAGCTGATCAATCACTCGGACAATCTCCGGGCCATCGGCATCGCAAACATTCGTCATTGGAGCTTCCGCTTTGAGTTCCAAGCGAGGGGCACCATCCATCTGCACGCCGTCTTGTGGACGGATCTGCTGCCGGGCTGGTCCGCAAACGACATCACCGCCCGCACAGGCGGCACCGCTAGCCCCTTCCTTGGACTGCTGGAGAAGCTGTTCAAATCCCGCGCGGACGTTCAGTGCGGCGACGGGACGCATTGCTTAATGCAGTATGTCGCCGGCTACCTGCTAAAGGCCTCGGATGCGCTCCAGTTCCTCAGCAAGCAGGTCGACGACCAGGACACGCAATGGCGCCAGGCGTACCGCTTGCTCTGCAAGCGCTCGCCCACCGAGCAAGAAATCGTCATGGAGTTTGCGGGCCTCTCGATGGTGAAACATTCCTTCAGTGGCGTTGACATTTTCGCCCCCATCCCCGGCAGCACAGCCTCCAACAACTCGCGGCG